ACATTGCTGGACTAGCCCATTGCATGTTTGATCTTTGGTCACACTACATGGATCAAGGTGATCAGCACCACCTACGCATCCGTCTATTTTTGAAATTGAATTTGGAGCTCAAAGACATTTTGGAAACATTCTCGCCTACCTATGGCCACACAGCACTTCCAGAACCACAATACACCAAAGCATTCCAAGGAGGGCTTTCAATGGCCCAGCTCCACAAGCAACTCAATGAACACTTTGAGGCAACTGATGTGATTTTTTTTAATGTCACAAGCAAAACTCATTTCGCATGGCACAGTTTGCAATTTTCCAACTGTATACACCCTTTCCTGATATGGTGTTACGAAGGAGAGTCCACTATGCGTCGTGCACAGATCCTTTGGAAGTCTTGCTTGCATGGCAGCAAACACTGGTAGGCTTCAATGAAAGCTGCTTGGAAGGAGCGCCATTTAATGTGGATGCAGTGCAAAGGATAAACTTGAATAGTTTCACCACAGGCAAAGCAGAAATTACGGCTTTCCAAGTTGGGTTCATTACTTGTGAGAAACAAAGAAAGTAACCTACTTTTAGCTTTCATGATCATTATATTATCATGTACTTGAGAAGTTGAAGCTTTGCAGGTTACAAGAAACATTGCAATCCCACAATTGACATTTGCATGAGATCAGGTTAAACAAAATTCCATGTGTTGGAAAAACAGCTTCTGCAATACAAAACTTTCATTTTTTCATATTTTACCTTATTCCTAACACCAGCTTTCAACAACAGAAATGAACTCTACCATAAAAAATGCTTCTTTGTAGTGAAGTGTGATGTTTTTTCCATAAATTTCTTCCACAAATAAAAACCACCACATGCAGTTTGTATGTTGTTTCTATGCGGTTTCTTTGCTGTTTCTATATTGGCCAAAAATTTACTTAAAAAATTACTTTCTCAAAAATTTACTTGGTACCAAGTAAATTGTTCATTTACATTAAATTTAGGCAAAAAGTAAATTTACTAGTTTCGGAGACTCAGGGTGGCATGTCCACGAAGAAAACTTGAAGATTGATCCACCGGTCGAAGACCTTGAAAAGGACATTGAGGTTCATGAGGTAATCGTCACGATATTCTCAAAAGAACCGATCGACCTGAGGAACCGCGTGGACGAGCCCATCAGAGGAGCTGTACCTGATGATGAAGTCGAAGTAATCAATCCGATTACAGGGGAGCTTGAAAGAATCAGGGCTAACGACCCCTCATTCTATGACGCAGGTGGTTTTAAAGCAAGAAAATACAAGAATTCAAGTAAGCCAAAGGACATCCCTCCATTTGTATGGCAAGCAATGTCTCAGAAAGAAAGAAGAGCATCGATTGCAGATGAGCAACGAAAATTGGCCCTGGAAGAAAAGGAAAAGAAACGCGCCAAAAGAGTGAAAGCTGTACCCATGATCGGAACTCTCAAAGAATCACCAAATGAATTGGAAGAGTGTCTATCCTACGAATTCATCCCAGCTATGCCCGTTTGCCAGATGAACCCTCAAAGACATCGAGTGAAATGTATTAGGCTTGGACTCCAATCTGGAGAGAAAGCCGTTAACACTTTGGTGGCTAGGCCAGTGGGGAAAAAGGAAATTAGAGCCAATCCCAAAGCCCAGCAAGCCTTAGATGTAGAGTGGGAGAAACTGGTAAAGAAAAAGGCTTGGCAATATGAGACAGTGGCCGAATGGAAGGTCATTGCCGATAAGGCCAAAAAGACTGGGAAGAAGGTCCATGTAGGAAAGGTCTTTGAGATTTGCGTTGAAAAGGGAAGTGAATTACCCGAAGGAGATAAACTCCGAAAATTCAAAGGTAGAACAGTTTTCCAAGGCAACAATGTAAAGGACGAAAGCGCTGATGTTGCACTGTTCTCGGAATTAGGATCATCGCCTGCCACTATGGAAGCTGGCAAAGCAGTAGATGCCTACGGAGCTCAACCGGGATTCATAACCCAATAAAATGATGGAGTACAAGCTTACACTCAAGCCTTATGGAAGGGCGTGGAGACATGGGTGGAACTGCCACCCGATCGATGGCCCAAAGAATGGCATGGTAAGTTCATTAGACCAGTTGTATTGCTTCGCATCGCTCTTTATGGTCACCCCGATTCGGGGGGACTCTGGGAACAGTACTGTGAAGCCATGTTAAAACTAGTGGGCTTTATTATGCCAGACCCGGAAGGGTGGCCTTCGGTGTTTTTCCATCCAGAGCTCAAGTTGTTGCTTGTCGTGTATGTTGACGATTTTAAGATGTCCGGCCCCAAAGAAAACATGTCAAAGGGATGGAGTTTGATTGCATCAAAGATTGACATGGACACTCCCGGGGAAGTCAATAGATATCTTGGATGCGACCATGTGGCTCAATACAACGTAAAGCTCAAGATCGAAAATCACCCTTATGCTCATGTCTTTGACAAGTCACTGGCCGATCCGGCCGCGCCTGCCGCCGCCGCGTGCCACAGGACTCAGGATTTCTGGGAGCTCGACACCGTCAACGATGTCTACATGAGACACCATGTGCAGCCAAGGAAGAAACTATTCTTGCCCGATGAAGAAGTAGTCAAGTCCTGCCATTTAGCCCCATTTAGATTCACGAACGCAATCCCATGCAACAACAATGGAAATGAAGTTGAGCAATGGGATACTATTGGAATTGGGTCCAACGTGAACAAAGGGGGTAGCCTAAATGATTCATGGGTAGGCACGACATACTTCTTCCCTACATCATGCAAAGATCCAAAGGCTGCCATGGCCACCATCAAGAGGGACAAGTCCGGAGCCAAAAAGAAAGCGAGAGCGGAAGGTTTTTCCTATATGGACCAACTGTTTGAGAACCAACCCTGCATGCAGAAGCCTGTGACTACTTTCACATATGATATGGAGCCTTTTCTGAAATCATGTGTTGAACGTTACATATCACTTGCTGGCAGGGATGCCAAGCCTTTGAAACAAGTTTCCACACCATTTCATGAAGAAAGAATTGCACGGCCCGTTGCCGATGAAAAGGAAACCAAAGGCGTATTGGCTCCAATAGCCGCAAGGGTCCTTATGAAAGTGCTATTTGCAGCCAGGATGGCACGTTTTGATTTGCTGCGCGCCGTTCAAGGCCTGGCAGCTCGTGTGACAAAATGGAGTGCAGAATGCGACAAGGCACTGCACAGACTCATTTGTTACATTAACTCCACCCTGGATCACAAACAAAGGGCTTTCATAGGGGACAAAGTTAGTGAATGTAGGCTTTGGCTGTTTGCTGATGCAGACCATGCAGGGGAGTACGACAATCGATCCACCAGTGGTTGTTTGTTAGTTCTAGTTGGACCCAACACATACTTCCCGCTCACAGCATTCAGTAAGAAACAAACTGCCGTTGCAATGTCAAGTACCGAAAGTGAAGTTGTCAGTGCAAACGTATCCCTCAGAGCTGTCGGTCTACCTTCCTCCGGTTTGTGGGCATACCTCCAGAACGCGGGGGGGAGAGAACACCAAAAGACAGCATACCGGGAGGTTTGCCAAGGCATGACATTGAAACCCAAAAAGAATCCAATGGAGAATATTGGCAATTCATGAGAAGTAGTCCACACAAAACCAAGGTCACATTTGTGCACACCTGTTGACATGTCCAAGTCACCCATCAACCTTAAGCGTATCGGATGTGCTCGAACCACCGTGATGCTAAAGGACGGGATGGTTGACTTCATGCAGGACAATTGGAAGGTCAAAGTTGGCTACCCGATCAATGGGGAGTGGACTGGCAAGACTTTCTTCAGGGTTGATGGTCCCTACGAGTCTGACTACAACATCGAATCGGTCGAAATCCGTGAAGCCATCACCGACTACGAGTTCGTAGGACGTGAGAAAGAGGGAGAATGTATGATTTCAATGTTTTCCCCACGGTCGATAAAAGGTGTTTTTGTAGAGGACAATCAGGCTACCATTAGAATCCTTGAAAACGGAAAATCACCCACTTTCCGACACACAGACAAGACCCAGCGAGTTAACCTATCTTGGTTGGAGGAACAATTCAAAAGAAGATGGTATAAGCTAGTCCATGGTCCAAGCATGCTCCAAGCCGCAGACATTCTCACTAAGCCATTTGTTAGTGCAGAAAAATGGAAACTAGCTGTCAAACTTCTTGCATTAACCCCCACCAAGAAGATTACCCCACAGAAAGCTTTGGCGTCGGCGACGGAGGCCATCACACCTCCAATCATTGCTGCACCAAGCACGGGGGGACCCGCTGCCAAGTCTGATGCCAAGAGACTGATTGTTGAAGTTTGCTGTCATCCCGAGTCCAAACTCAGCCAAACCAATCGTAAGTGGTCTGAAGGTTGTGAAGTACTACAGTTCACAGAAGAATTTGATCTTAACGAAGTCGAAAACCAAATGAGAATTGCAGAGTATGTCAACTCTTTCAAAGGTGACGTGAAACCATTTATATGGATCAGCCTACCGTGCACGGGGGGTACACCATGGACATATATCAACATGAAAAACCCCAGTGCACGTGAGAAGGTTTTGAAACATGTCAGAGAGTTTGACCGACTTTGGATCTCCTTGAAATCGTTTCTCCGGATGTTGAACTGTGAAGTACACATTGCACTTGAGTGGCCACGAAAATGTCGGTATTGGAAGTTGACTAAAGTTGCAAAGCTTTTGAACTTTTATGGGATGATTGCATACCACTTTGACGGATGTGCTCTTGGAATGGTAAATCAAGACAACGACCCTTTGAAGAAGCCTTGGACAGTGGCCACCAATCATGCTGGAGTCGGTAAAGCATTATCGAAGTTCCAATGCACATGCAACAGGCGTCATGCACCAGGTAGAGGTATTGCACTCAAGAAAACAGAGGAGTACACCTTCCGCATGACAGATGCCATACATAAAGCTCTTACCCGACAGCATCCCGCTCTCAAGCTCACTTGCTGTGCACTCATCGCGCCCTTTCGCTCTCCCGTCTTCGTCATGTTGACTCGTGCAATCCAGATGGCTAAGGCCTGTGCGGTTGCCGGGAGGCCCGCCATCCTCGAACGCATCACCCAGTGGGAAAGTGTGGTCAACACCCTGAAGGGAGCCATCGCGGTGGCGACCTGGGACGACCCACAGGTGCTCTTACGAGAGATGGAAGGATGCCGCCTACCCCTGGCGAATATCGTCGAGCCGATGCTGGGTGGAGGCAATGCTGAAGGGGCATACGACACGCTCGCGGAGGTCTACAAGAACACGCCCGATGGCTTTTTGGCAATGTGCCCCTACCCGCCGGGAGGCGAGGTCGACCTGCTGATCGTATCAGACTCATCACTTGCTCTGGTACCTGACCCCAACGCAGGGAAGGCTTCGTGTTTTTCCGGAGGCGATCTTCTCAAACCCTGGAGAGACATCCGTGGCATATATACCAAAATGTTGTGGGGCAAGGGATTGAACCATATGGTCCAGTATATCCCCGAGGCCATCGATGACATCGAGTCCACCAATCGTGCACATGGTCGCCCGGTTTTGCCGGTGTTGGTCATCGTTGGGTGGGCCGGCAATGATGTGTATGGCGAAGGGGGTTACAGAGGTGTCCATTGGATTCACAGGGCTGCCTACAACAAATCTGCTGCCGACCGGGAGGTCACGGCCAACTGGTGTGAGCGGCAAAAGGCAAGGGTTGAGCGGTCCGTCAACGAACTGGGCCAGCTCAAACGTGATGAGCCCCGTATCCTGGACATTGTGGTCGTTGGGAACGCTGACGCGGACATCTTTGCTCTCCCGTCGGCCTACAACGAGACCATGCGTGTCCACATCAAGGCACTGCGCGAGGACCATGGCATTCAAACCCTGGACACTACCTTGATGCTTGCCAGGACTGTGAGATATGACAAGGTGCATTTGGAGGACGATGCCATCAACCGGAAGTATGTCACCAACTTCCTCCAGGCCGTCGCCGATTGCCACCTTGCCTACCTCAAGCTCATCAGCGTCGACGATCACTTGAGAACGCTCCCAAGAATCGAGGATCTCCAGGAGCAGAAGAACTACCCGAACCTCACCATCCTCAAGGCCGCGTACCAGCTTGAAATCGATTCGAATGTATCCTCACCACAAGATCTTCCTCAACGACCCGATCCTGAGAAGATCATGTTGGATGCAGACATCGAGATTTTCAACTGGGTGCTTCAAGCTGAGGAGAACGCCACAGCCTCTGCCGACCGGGAGGTCGAGTCCTGGATGCGAGACATTCCTGAAGAGGACCAGGCATTGGAACCCATGCACCATGACAACGCTGATTCGGACGATGAGGCTATCAAGGTTCAGGCCCTCACAATGGATGATCGAATTTTGGCAAGGCGACAAGGCCTATCCGAGGAGCACGACCAAGAATGGCAAGATGCCACCTATGCGGCCGAGGATGAAGAGGAGGAGTTCAAAGGCTGGGACCTCATCGAGGATGACAAACGCCCGCCGGGAGTCGTGGCCAGTGACCCAATTCATGAAGAGGAGAAGGAGCTGGACCTCGACGACCTGGAGACGGTGGCTTCGGTTGAGATTGTCGATGAAGAGGAGTTCCACGACGCCGAGGAGGGGCAGGCCGAGCAGATCGATGATGATGACGATGATGACATGGCCGTGATCGACAAGGTCTCTTCTATGCAAGCCTCGAAGTCTGATGCACGGGGGGACCCGGAGCCCATGGAGGTTGATGATCAGGGCAACAAGATGGTCCAGAGTACGGCATCAGCAAAGACCTGGAAGACGGAGATGGCCCAGAGCTCGTCATCTGCAAAGACGTGGAAGACCGACATGGGTCAGAGCACATCATCGGCGAAGACCTGGCGAACTGACACAACTGCAGCTGCGTCGGCGGGAGCCACGCCTCCTGACCCGACTGCCAAGCTCAAGCCCAAGAAGAAGGCCATGCCCAAGAGGTTGAAGGTTGTCGATGAGGGACATGGCCCAAGTGCTGAGCAGTTTGACACGTCAAAGTTTGCCACGGCACAGGATCTGGTTTGGATTGAGCCGGACAACATGGCAGGAGTCCCTGTGAGGAAGGTGGACTACGGAAGGCTTAGCTCCATTTCACATGCTATGTCCGACTACCTCCGTGGCCATCGACTTTTTCACAGGAGGCCTTCGCCAGAGATTCGGAGGACTGACTTGTCCATGGACTTCAAGGCGTTGGTGAGGCATCTCCAAGGAGATTTTGCGCACCTTCGAGAAGAAGAAGTCCTGATGGTCGTGCGCAACTCACCGATGCGCCGCTTCCGAGTCCAGGTGAATGGATTGTCGTCCGGAAAGCTCAGGTGGACCCCAGTGAGGATCAGGGCCATTCAGGGCCATCGTGCCTTTCTCGTGGAGCAAGGGGGGATGTCTTCCATGATCAAAACAATGTTCACGTTTGATGAGAACTTCGACGAGACCAAGGTTGACGACCCAACGGTTCACCCCTCCTTCTCCGCGATGCCGGAAGGCTCGCCTGTGTGGCACAAGTTCCCCAGGGTGGTGTATCACACCTGTGACCAAGCCGCCTTCAATTCCATCATCAAGTTCGGCCTCATCCCTGGCGGGTTCCCGTACAAAACGGGCAGAGCCCACAACTTTTTCAACTCCACTCCGCCCTGGAAAGCGGAAATGAAAAAGTTGCAAGGTACGCGGGCCGGGAGGCCAATCGCCATCGCGTTCGACATGGAGCTCATGATGCAAATGGGCTACAAACTTTTCGCGACTGACGAGGCCATCCTGTCGCCAGACTGGATCTCGAACCTCCCGATGATCAACGCCTACGATATGCGGTCGGGCGAATTTTTCTATATCAACAGGGCTTATGTGAACCATCGGAAGACTTACCAGGAAGTCCTCAAGCAGGCCAAGGCCGAGTTTGATCCGACGGACGTTCTCATGAGCCGCATGGAGATGTTGATGGAAAACGCCCAGTTGAACTTTGAAGGCATCAAGGACCGCATCGAGTTCGGCAAGCTCCTCCCCTTCTCCAGACGTGAGGACATCGAGGTTGAGAAAAGTACTGCCACCCGGGAGGGTGAGCCGGCATCAGGATCTCAGCTGGTGCCCGGCTACACCATTGCAAAGATGGCCGCCATGACGAGCACGGATGCATGTGGATTTCAGCGTCGTGGACGGAATGGACCCGGTGGCGGGAATTGGAACAAAGGGCAAGGTCGATTCGGATTTGAGTTGCAGTTCAAGGACATTTCCTACAACCAGATCCAAGACTCACCTCAGGTGCGCTGTAGCCATCCAATCTGCGGATATCTGATATCTGATGATGGATGGGCATTTGAAATGCCCGCGCTGCTTCCGGCAAATGGAACCCGTGACAGATGCCAACATTGCCACGGAGGTTGCCCGCCGGGAGGCGATGGCCCGTACCAGAGGAGTACCCTTTTCCATGGACAAAGTGATTTTCAATCACCCCCGCAGAGGCAGAGTAGCCAGGCAGCCGGAGAAGGGATCTTCGTCTTCTTCGACAGCCGTCCGGACCAGAAGCACCTATGGCAACTTGAGAGATATGGCCCGCAACTACGTCAGATCTTTCAAGAAAAGGGGCTTCAAAGACCTTGTTGACAGACTCGTCCGCGACCCGTTCTTTCAGTTCAATGCGGCGAATCAAAACTTGGTGCCGGAGGCCTTGCTCTTCATTGAGCGTTTGGCTGGCTGCGTGAGCCCGACCATTGAGCGCACCAAAGCTCAGGTTCTTGGTGAAAAGCTTGAGATGGCCACCAAATTGATCTTTGTGCCATCGTCGGAGCGGGAGCCCGACCAACCCTTGGATCTTCACACCGAGGTGTTTGTGTCGCATCGGGGCGTCTTTCTCGACATCGGCCAGTTCGCGGTCTATGTGGCGAAGTTCATCAAGCCAAAGCAAAGACCCCTACCCATTGTTTATGGCTGGGGCAACCGTGACTTTGTGCCTGATGCTTCGGATGCCAAAGAGATCGCAAAAGAATTGGTGGAGTTCAGCAAGCTGCAATGGTCGAACTTTGCCTCCCAACAGACGCACAAGGAGTCTGAAACCACCGGCGACGACCGGGAGGTCAGTCTTCCTCATGCAAGTGGATCCATCAGCCGACCTGAGCATGAACGACCCCATCACGAGCAATTCGAGCCAAATCTTGGCAAGCCTGCTCGCGGCGGTCCTTACGGTCAAGGCTATGGTGGAAAAGGTCATCACAAAGGTGGAGGACAGACCAAAGGAAAGGGACAGCAGAAGGGAAAGGGCAAGCAAGGCAGAAGCCCACCGGGAGGTGTGGCCTACAGTGACTTTGAAGGAGATTCCTACTGGGTTCAGGGCTACCGCTACACGTGGTACTGGAATCAACAGCGAGGCTGGTACTGGCGCTGGACCTGAACTATGGGATGACTCGCATTGACGCTTAGGTCATATCTTTCCTTTTTCAAATTTGCTTGCCGGGAGGCATGCCTGTCTATGACAAACTTGGCAGGCATCGCACCCATTGAACACACCAGAGCTTTGACGCATATTATGCATCATATCATTCAAGTGAACTTCAATGCATCAATTTCCGCACAGTTTGAACGAATTAAATTTCACTTCAATTACTTCTCAAGCCGATCGATTGGATGTTCAAGGCAAGAGCTCAGATTAATTCGCACCATTTTCATGGCTGTACAGTTTTTTCCTGCCATGGGGCCTTTCAGATGACAACAAAAGGAATGGTAATGTTCCTGCACTCATTTGAAGGTGCCTGGCGGGAGCCACGGCCATGCTGTGTGCATCATCGTGCCTATCTCCGGCAAAAAGAGCATACGACTTGACGCTGTCAACACCGTTGCAAGCCTTGACATCCAATGCATCCGAGCCTCATTGCATTCGACATGAGTTCAACCATTGTACATTCAACTGAACTTAGGTCCTTCGGCGGCAGCTTACGGCAGGCGATTTTCCACCACAGTTGCCAAGCAACTGGGGTGAACGGGGGGTGTTGTTACGGGATTGTAATGACTACAGTCCCATACCTCCCTGTAACGTAGGCCTGTAGTAAGCATGTAAATATAACCGCTACCTTATGGCTCAAGAACAAAATAGTGTGCGGCTTTGCTGGCTTTACCTGGTTGATTAACCTGTAAGTATATTAACAAAAATTGGACCAGCACAGTGATTCCTATTCGGCATATTCTACTTATGCAGCTACTTGCTATATCTTGCTATGATTTTTGGGATGTATTTTTTGGGCCATGCGCCGCAACCGAGGAGCCAGCCATGCCACAGACCGCGTTGCCCATGAACCCTGGGAAATTGCTGAAAATGGGCAGTGGGCCCATGGAGCTCAGCCACCTGGTAGCAGCACTTGATATGGGGGGATCTTAGGCATCAGCTGATGCCTTGGCATGTGCACTTGGTTCATCTACATGCCCGTGGTTTGTGGGCCCGAAGATCTAAGGGCCCAAAGAGTTAACTGTGTGCAACGCGGATGGTGTGCGACTGTGAAGTCGTGTCGTTGTGGCGAGCCCATCTCAGATATCAAAGGTACCTCTATTTCCGGAAACCTCCAAATGGGGAGGAATGAGGAGGAATGTGAATCTTGAGCACCTAGAAATGGCGATTGATGATTTCATTAAGTGGTAAAATGTGGTAAAGATTTTTTTTTTTGGAATTACCACCCCCCCAAGTAATATTTCGACCCTGTCTTCCAACCCATTGGAAGCAACTATGTTAGTTGGGGGGATGGTACTGGTAAATGGGTTGATGAATCTTGGGAAACCTTTTGGGTACCGTAAGTATATGTAGTAAATTGTAGTATTCTGTATGTACGGCAGGTGCATATCACACGTGCTACTCAAATGGATGAAGGAGCCATAGCAGTGCTTAGATTTGACCCCACAAGTATGCGTGTATGTATACCACAAATGACATACGTTTCTGTGTCCTATGTATGTTGTACTGAGGTGTATCATATTAATCATATGAATATGTGATTAGATTCTCAACCATTCAACACTCCCAATGCCATGTGTACAATCACCAGAAGTGGGAAAGAAACATCCCCAGAATCCCCAGGTTCTGTGGCAGAGATGCTCAGCGTCCTTCATGCTGAGATGCTTCAACGTTTTGATCAGCAAGATGTGGTGCTGCAGCAAATCACTGTCCAGGTCCAGGCCAAAAAGTCACTGATTCCCGTGGCACATATGCGGAGCAGCAGCGAAGGCAGTTCTGCCAATGCCTCCGTGGGCTTTTCGGATGCCTCGGGGGGGTCACATGAGGCTCCGCGTCGGAAGAGGCTTGGCGGGAAGATGTGGGGATCAAAAATCCACCCTGGCTACGTGACTGTTCACCCCCCCAAATGTATCCAACTGAGGTGTTTGACCCATAGCAATTTTTTATAATGTCAAGTTAGGATTAATAATACCCGCTGGATTAAACAACCTCAACTGCCCCCCCAAAAAATGTAATTTAAAAACAGGTGGTCCCCCTGGATTAATAAACTTTTTGGCATGGACATAATTAATCAATCCCCAGTGCTGAAATCTCATTTTTGTATCCAAAAGTGTTTATTTCCAACTCTCTTTATTTTCAAATGGTTTCCTTATGCTATACTTAAGTTGAAACCTCATGAACACCAGAACCCATCACTGCTGATCATTGAAACTTTGAAAAAACAACTATTTCTCAAATGATCGATTTCTAATTAGATTATTTATAAAAATCATCAGTTTGGATAGCTTCCCCCATTAATAATAACCAGGGTTTGCCCCTTATTAAACAACCCCCATGTCAGAAGGTGCTTATTATTGCGGGGGGCATCACAAGGTCTACCATGACCTATAAGCGGGGGGGGGTTATTAATCCGATGTTGGCATGAATTGTTTATGCTACATGCCAAAAGAAGAAGAGGTAAAATTTGGCGAAAGGATCGCAGACTTGGTTTCAGATAATTTTTATCGGGACCCCCTTTTTGGGGGTGGTTGAAAAAAATGTTTTATTTTTTTTGGTTACCCGATGTTATTACCTGAACATTTTACGGGTAGAATTTCTGAAAAACCGTCAAAACAATGTGTGATTTTTTTCGTTTTGAAGCACCCGTATTGGATGCTGAGGAAGAAGAACGACAGGAAGAAACCGACACTTTTCAGCCGCTTGGCTTGAGCGAAGTTCGCGGTGATGATCCCAGCGGACCATCATATTTGGGGCTTTGAAAACTATCAGAAGGATACCCTCTGGTAATGACTAACATAGCCATTGAAAAAAACCATTTATAGTGGATTTACCCATTAAAAATGGTGATTTTCCACAGCTATGTTAGTTTGCCGGAGGGTATCAGAAGGATATTAAAGCCACGGAATGGAATTGGGTTCCAAATTGTGAGACAACAGATTGGAGGTTTTGTTGAGCCCGAAAATCACAGAGCAATCTATTGACCCCGGATATTTTCTGGTGAGTGGCGATTGGTCGTGAATTCTTAGCCCCGGAACTATAGACCCATGTGTTTTAAACAGGTCTCTGTGAAGTATACAGTATACATCAGTATACCAAATATTCTGAAAATTGAATATGTTGACATATATGTTGACACATATTGGTGATTTTGTTTTTTAATTTCCTATCTACCCTCTCGTAAACTAACATAACTATTGAAAATCACAATTTTTAATGGGTAAATCAACTATAAATGGCAATTTTCCATAGCAAACTGTTAGTTTACTGGAGGGTAGTTGAATCTACCATCTCTAAGATAGGAATCCTGGTGAAGGCTTCCCCCGGATGCTCCTTGGAGGCACCTTCACGCAGAATGATTTGTTAAATTGGAACAAGGCCGGGCAAAAACTGGCACACTGGGACCCAAAAAGGTCAGACGTGGCCCTGATGGATTTGAAAATATATAGTTCCTATCAATGGATTGGATTAAGGGAAAATTTACAGGAAAACCCCATATTTAATGGGAAAATCTATGGTTTCCTGTAAATTGTCCCTTAAACCAATCCATTGATCCTAATTCTTGAAATATTTTCAAGTCCTTGCGCATACATTAACACTTTGGAAAGTGTTTGATCCTCTATCTTTGCAGCCAAGGGGTTCGGTTCGGAGATGACCGTGCAGGCCTCCACCACAACCTGCGGTAACACATGTGGTTTGGTACAGTTTCTGAACTCTTGAATGGGAGATAGAGGTATGATTCATTCTATATGCAGCTATACATGCAGTTGCAGTAATTATGTTTTTATCATGTGTGGTTTGTTTTCATTTATTCATACCCTACTGTATTCCAACATAGTCTGAATAGATGTGGAGAACCATGGAGAACCCACAATATCATGAACGTAGATCATTTTCCAGGGTTTAAAAACCATGGGTTTTATCTTGTAAACGCTTAACCTAAAGGGTATAATATAGTGGTCACATTGGGTATGTGATGCTGATATGAGGATATATGAGGTGTATAACCATGTATAACCGACAATGTGATCGATGATATTTGGATGTGTTATAAGTTACAACTTGCACGATTTATTGATGATTTTCCCAGCTAGAAACCTCCATTTAGCGCGGACATGCATGGAGATGTTCATGAATATTTCGTGGCAGGCTATGGACGCAGAGGAGACGGTGCCCCCAGGGTTCCAATCGGAAGACCCATCCTCCGTTCACAAGGACGCTCCTTTTTGTCGCGGAGAAAATGGAGCCATTTGGGAACAGAATGGGGCAGTACAATATTGGTATAACCATCATGACAACTGTTCTTGTAATCCCATTACCATTCCATCATTCATAAGGGGGGAACCAATGAAGTCGGTTTGAAAAAATGGGGTGTAACATGGTGTAGCCAATCAACATGAGATTTAAGCACTGGTACTGTAATGAGATGATGATGGGACAATAGTGATACGCAATGGGATATATAATGATATATATATAATGTATCAACACAGATGCCATGCATGACCTCAACAGCCTTCTACAGGAACCTTCAGCAATTGCTGAAGCAAATGCGCCAATGCATGTGCAACGCATGCTACAAGCATTTCACAGGGACACATGGTTCCAAATTGGAACACAACATGACTGCGTCAGGACAGAGATTGGCTCTAGGCCAGGCGACAGTTTTGCGGACATAGTGTTCGGCCTGCTCTGGGCAAAATTGCTCAAAAAACTGGAGGTGGAACTTGTCAGTCATGGCATTTTGGACGACATCCCCTTGCTTGAATTTCCAAATCCATATGCAGATGCCTGTGATGTCATGCAACAGAGAATCCCTCTTTTAGGGCCGACGTGGATGGATGACTTAAGCTTGCTCATCGCAGCACCAAGCAACACTGCGTTGATTGCCAAAGTCAAACAGGCCACAAGTTTGTTGCTTGATGCATGTCATGATTTTCACATGGCCCCCAATTTAAAGCGCGGTAAAACAGAGGTCATGATCACGTTTCGTGGACCTCAGTCCAAGCATTTCCGCAGAGAGTACTTCAGCGCCCAACCAGGACTGATAGTAGTCTGTGAAAATAAAACAGTCACAGTGCCAATTGTCACAAGATATGTCCACCTCGGGGGACTCATTCACCACCGTGACGTGAATCGACAGGAAATCAAGCGCAGATTAGCCATTGCCAACCAAGCTTTTCAACAACACAAACGCCTGATTTACCGCAACAAGCAGATCAGCTGGAACAAGAGATGTGATATTTTCAACACTCTCATCCTCAGTAAATTCCTTTATGGTTTAGAAAGCTGGACGTTTCCAACCAACCAGTGTAGACTTCAGATCCACAATGGAGTGATGCGTCTCTATCGAAAGTTGCTTGGCTTAACCCCGGACACACATCTCACAGATGTGGAAGTCCTTGTGCAGTCAAACATGCCTGATCCAACCGAACTTTTGAGACGGGCCAGATTGCGCTATTTTGGCACACTGCACAACTGCAGGTACCATGCCCATTGGGGTCTGATCCGTGAAGATACCAATTGGACAGAACTCTTGGGATGATTTGGAATGGCTCTGGACACAGATCAGAGCATCAACCAAACTCGATGATCCTGCACAGCATTTTTTGCAATGGCAAGATCTCATCATTCATCATGGAGTCTATTGGAAGAAACTCATCAGAAAGGGAATCCAACATGCTTGCCTACAGAGAAAGAAGGAATATCATGCGATTGAACTACATCAAAAAATTGGGTTACTCTTGCAACAAGAGGGCTGGGTTGACAGCCTACCCACGCAAGAGACCCAGAGCACCCCGACGACAGACCATCAACGATATGGATGCATGCAATGTGGCAGGAATTTTGCATCTCATGCGGGTGAGTCTGTCCATATGTGTAGAACGCATGGCATCATTGCACAGGAGAGATTTCTTTTTGATGGCACTCACTGTCCTAGTTGTCTCAAGGAATACCATTCTACATCTAAGGTTCTTGCACACCTGCGTTCAGCCACTAGATGCAGGGACACACTGCGAGCCAGAAGAATGCGCTGTATCCCAATGCCAGGCACAGGATCTCAGAGTGATCGACATCAATTAGAATTCAATGATGGAGCGCTGCCAGCCCTACAAGCACATGGCCCTAGATTGCCAGCACCACAGCCGCAACAATGGGAACCATATGATATTCCATTCTTTGAAGCATTGTATATGCATTTAGTAGAAGATTCCACACAGGGTGTTTTAGCAGTCTCCCTGAAGCAATTCATCCGCACATATCCAATCAGTTGGACCAATTGCAAGCGTACGCTGGAAGCTTTCAGCCAACAATTCACAGTCGAAGATGCAGCAGTTCTCAATTGGTCACATGAGGTTGTTTTACATTGCGTGAAGCAGATGACATGTGATGGTTATTGGGATTTTCTGCACGATGCAGGGGCCTCTGTTCCTAGACGGAAACCGGCCACGATCTGTGAATGGGAAGCTTGGTGCACTGAACTTGCAGAAAATCCACCCCCCGAGTGGACACAATGGACACCCCTGCCACAGTCCCTTACCAAGCACAAAGTTCTCCTGCATGCTTTTGCTGGCAGAAGGAGACGCGGAGACATTGAGTGGTATCTTGATGCGCTCTCACATCAATTGGAAGGGTGCGTAATCCTGACAGTCTCAATTGACATCGTCATTGATCCTGTCCATGGTGACATCGCCAGAGAGGAGACCCGAACCATGTGGTTGAACTACATCAGACAAGGGCATGTTGCAGGCTTTTTAGCAGGGCCACCATGTAATACGTGGAGCAGGGTCCGTGCTGTCCAGCTCGCAGACAAGAAGGGCCCCAGGGTTATCCGCACTCCAGATGCGCCATGGGGCATGAATGAGCTGCGTATGGGTGAACTGCAACAGGTCACTATTGGCACGATTTTGCTTGGCTTTGCGTTCGAGTGCATGCTTGCAATGGCGATGTATAGTGGCTCCGGTCTGTTGGAACACCCAAAAGACAGCGAAGACGAATCCACTGTAAGTATTTGGAGATTGCCAATCCTCCAGATGCTGTTGCAATTTCCAGGGATGCGATTGATTCATTTGTCACAGGGCCTTTTTGGCGCTCCCAGCCCGAAGCCCACCACGCTTCTTGCCTTACGACTGCCCACATTGGAACGATCCTTACATGAGGGAATGTTGTGTACGAAGCTGGCATTTGGTGCCACCACAGGCAAGGATGACAAAGGAAATTTCAACACGGCTCCGTTGAAAGAATACCCACCTGGACTTTGCAGGATCTTAGCCAACAGTTTTTGCACAGATTTCTGTGCTCAGGGCACTAGTGCGGAGCACAGTGCGAAGTCTGATCTACCAACTTCGTTTTTGGATCTCTGTGACAGAATGAGAGATCACGATTTTGGAAATTTCATTGGATTAGACTGAATTTGAATTCATGGTTGCAATGCCGCAACGACACTCGTTACAATGAGCATGAGGAAAAAAAATATAATGTATCCCATATAAATGGCCATTTTCAATAGCTATGTTAAATTACCAGAGGGTATTGCATCCCATTGTTACTGCAGTCTGTGTCATCCCATCTCATCTCACATATTATATATATATAACATTATTGCATTATTGAGCCGATTCAACCAACTTGGTAAACCCAATGCCATAGACAACGACCATGACTGGGGATGCTTGACATCCCCAGCCGTAAAAATGTTGATGGGGTGCAAGTGACATGTGGTGAATCCCACATTATCCAATGTCTGATTTGACAGTATCTTATACTATCCATGAGCTTGAAATCAGATGAAATCAGTATATATCACTTACCCTTCAGCAAATTAACATCGACCCTGGCAAATAGGACTTTGAAGACTCGTTTGCCAGGGGAGCGTTATGTTGTTCGGGTCGAGCTGGTCTCATGGACGGCTAACCCATAAGCCCTTGGGAGGGATGATTTGACCTTTGTCACGACCCGCAAAGTGACAAGTCGTCACCGTAAGGGTCGCAATCTGTAACAGTTTGCCCCAGGGTATTTGAATGAATTAATCATCATTAAATAGTGATAATGGTAATCATTAATCATCATTAATAATATCTTGATCATGAAAGATCGTCATCATTAATCATCATGAAATAGTGATAATGGTAATTGCAACGGCAAACACATCACCATAATGATGAATCCCCAAAAATGCATGATCAACAACCTATAGTTGCATATTGACCAACGATAGTATCGCCATCAATGATCAACAACTGGAATGATAATTCCAGACTGTTCTGATCATGATATAGAAGTATCATATAGACTGTGATCAAAAACATCCCGGCGGAAGGGAAACCGCGCGAGCGTTTTTATTGTTTGCTTCCAGGAGAGTCACAATCACCTGTAATTTACAGTATAAAATGCTCTTCCGAACTCTTTGGATAACTGAATTTTGGTCAAAAAAAAGTGGATGCAAAATCTATTGATTTTTGACAAATCCAGTTAAACATCATGTGCATCAGACTTGGATGCTCAGATTTTTTTAAACACTCTTCCTCGGCTCAGCGATCCATCAGTGTGGAAGCTGTCTTCGACAGCAAGTTGCCATTATGGCACTCATAACGCCACTGCCAGCAACGCAGGTATAGCATGACATCTTTGTTCTGCCCTGCCTTTGTCTGCAAATTGCTAGGCACAAATTGTTTAGCCAAATTCCACAGAGATCTCAGCAGCGTACCAACATGTCACGTAGTACGAAAGTCCCAAGGATCTCAGCAGCGTAGCAAAATGTAACGTAGCACACGATCCCAGAGATCTTAGCAACATGGCAATATATAATGCACGAAGTACAAGGAACGTTAACATGCCCCCCCACCCCACCCCACCCCAACCCCAAGACAAATAGCAATACGCAAAAAAAGAAGCAAAACGCACGTACGGTTTTCCTGCCGTAGGCAAAAACATGATGTCCATCTAGATTTAAATGATGCCATTTGGTAATAAAAACATACGCCATACATTGCGTGCTGGAAAAATCCACAAGCCTTTTGCTGGCTACATGGCGTTGCCTCATCTCCTCCAGTGTCGGCATCAGATGGAATGATGTGACTGAATATGACTTAACCCCATCACAAATTCCATGAGCAAAACATGAAAACATCGAAAAACTATGGAATTTCCATGATTTTCCAGATCTATGTCAAATTGCCGGAGTTTTTTGTTGGGTGGAGGAATCCATCCCACATTTACTCAACATAAACTGCGATAGATTGGCACAATTTAATTGGTGATTTCCCAGGAAGCACAGTAATGGGTCGCATTTGTGATTTAAGTCATTTGGGGGGGAAACTATGGAATGCACTTAACCTAATTAGTTTGCCTTAGTGTTTGGAGAAAAACCCTAAACTTGGTGATGATTATATATATATATATATCCCTTCGGAGGAAAATAATACTTTTGGAGTCTATCTTAGTTAATCATACTTTCCGTTCGAGTAGGTTTGTTGACTCCACTTGAGGAACATTTGTCAAAGGATCAAATCGCAAGCCGGGACACCCCTCAGTTTATTGCCCCACTCCATCCCATGGATTTTCCCGTTTTAAGGTCCGTTAAAAATCACCTTTTTTAATGGATTTGGATGTAGGTCCGATGCAGTATCTGAGTGTGTTTCCCCATTGAATCAATCATTGGCCCATTGATATTCCACAGTTCGACCATTCCAGGGATGGGCGAAGAGCATCGTGGACCATTCCAGATTCGACATTTTCTTTGCCATTGTACCTCGTTCCATCGAAGCATTCCATTTTTTAAGGATATGATATGGGTATAATACTCAATGACTTGACATGACTCAAAACACAAACCCATCATGTCCATATCTGACTTTTGCGAGTTTAAGACTGTTGAAGTGTTTGGGTTGTCCTTGGATAGTTAGATGATGTTAGATGATGTATTCGATGTATTCATTCTATTTCATAGACCGCTAGGTCTTTCCCCAGCGAAGTTACGAACGACTCTCCGAGGTGGTGATCACCAACAGTATCTTCATCGGTGTGGACGTTCAATTGAATCCATCCTCCTACGGTTCAAGGCCTACATGGATCCATGTCCTTCAGCCACCTGGACAAAATTGGACAAAGTCCCCCTGACTTTGAGTCGGATCATGGCAGATCACGTTGCGTAACGTTACGCAACGTGATTTGGGTGAAGTTTGCACATAATTTTAATATATATATATATTAATCGATAGAAAAGAAAGAACAGGAGAAAGAACTCAGCTGCCAAAAAAATATATTGATATATCTAATGGTCTATCACTGTTGATCATATTTTTCAACCAGAAACTTGCGGTCGTTTTCGGGTAACAGCCCATATGTTCATAAAACTGTAGGCTTGCAGGTCTCATGGATCACAGACTTCAGCTTTATGGTTTGGATCATGTTGGATCATCTTAGAACCTCAATATGGATACCCTTTGGATCCCTTTGGTGCCGTTCGGTAATCATAGAATATCATAGAATATAGATACATTGGTCATCATCATAATCATCATCTAGAAATATCTGACTTTCTAGAATGAACCGACACCATCTGGCAATGAATTCCACGGTTTGCAGAAAAATATGAAAAAAACCCGAATAGAGTTTGATGATTTTTCCTGCTTGTTGAACGCTCCTTGTTGAGTTTGGGGATTTCAATCTTTGCACATTTGACACCGGAGGATAGGGCTGAATCGCCATCCTTCTTGGTGATGGGGATGTCTGCACAATCCCATCCCCCTATTATGAAAAAACGCCGCCGTTCGTTGCTTCCAAAAATATGGACATCCCCTAATAAACCATGGTTTCTGGGGGGGCGTTTAATATGCGGGGGATGTGATGAGTAGCCATGGCGGTTCCCCTTTTCGCCATCGGGCATGTTTTTCCAGGCCCGCGACTCTGAGAATTCCGTGGCTGAACTTTGGGTACTAGTAGGATAATTTGATATGATCATAAGTATGATGGGTTTGACATGGTTTGACAGGATCTGAAAAAAGAGATCACAATATCAGTGGATTTTGTGAATGTCAATATCTGCGGCCCCAGGATCTTCTATACAATCTTGTTCACCATTGAAATGGCATTCCGGGTGGCTGCCAATGGCAAGAAGTACTTTTGCTCTAATGAGTGGGCGTGCCCCGCCTTGATTCATGGGTCTGAGATGGCTGGGTGTTCATAGTCAGTCGATGTTCCTGGTGGCAACTTTATATATATATATTCATATAGACATACAAGTACACACATGCTGCCTGCACATACATAATGTGTGCATATATATATATATGCATATATAAATGAAAACCATGCAACTGGTCGATAGCTAAAAGATACTCGAATTGCATCTATATAGTCATTCTGAATCCCATGTGCAGCATCACCTCATCGGTAAGTATGGCTCGGCAGCTCGCTTTCACTGAGATCAAGTCCCTTTCTTCCTCTCCAAGTTCTCTTCTTGGATTGAATCGATTGAATCAATTTCCATTTTTTCAGGCAAAAAATGTTCAAATCTTAAGGCTTGAGGCAAATTGCATTGATTTGGAGACTCTCATTTTGATTCCTTCGCGAAAGCACATCACCAGGGGGGTTCTTGAATTTGGGCCCCTAAACCAGTGGGTTTCACTACTGACTATAAAGATCGTGTTGTTTTCTTTAATGATTTGGGGGTACTCCTCTTGAAGAAGCCCTGAAATCACAGTGATGAACTGATAAAATGTACTGTACGTGCATACAGATACATAATTTTGTATACATATATAATCATATATATATATATTATATTATAATATATGCATAATGTATATATACATATATACATGCTCACCCCTGCCACCAGGGCCTTCCTATTTCATTGACTGTTTCATTGTGAGGTCAACCGGTTGCTATCAGCTATCTGCCAAAAGAAACAAACCAAAAAGACACAAACACCAAAAAAAATCGGAAAGAAAAAAACAATGCATTGGAGAGCCTTCTTCCCTTCCCCCATACTAAAGCAGGTCTCCCAAAACTTTGTTTTTTATTTTTATTTTTTTGGGGGGGTTTCTTCCTTGGTACCCTTTCCCTTCCAAACCCAACTCAAAACAAGTCATCCAAAATGTGTGTATGTTTATTCTTTCTGGTGTGGGGGAGAGGTGGTGAGCTAAGAATCTAAATATATTATATATATATATATGCATCGCTAAGCCCGTCGCTATTTGGGTGGTTTAAGCGCTCTAAACTCTATCTCCATTAGGCTAGAAAAGGCTTGTGGCAAAATTCATTTGAAACTGGAAATCTTTTTTTTTTTGAAGTCTGTGAAGGCACTATTGTAGTGTTTCCATGTGATTGTTACAGTACTATCTTCCATTGAAAGAAGTAAGCCACTTTTGTTTGAAAGGGAAGGCAACCCCCTGATTTGTTGAAGAGGTTATTGGCATGTTCAATGAAATGGTTACCTTTAATACAGTGCCATCAATAATTATACATTCTGCGCTGGGCCAGCAAAAGTCCACCAAATAACCTGATGCTAATATGTTGATTGAAGCCAGCTGGTCTCACACTAATGCCTTGCCATGGCGTAGCCTGTCATCGTTGAAGTTATATTCTAGTTAAGAGATGTGAATAGTGGAAGTACATATAATGTTTCATTTAAGTTATTTTCTAATTCATAGTGAAAGTACATATAATGTTGAATGAGTTTGAGCTGCGCAGCGCAGCAGTTAACACATTGAGCTAAAGGCAAAAACGCAAACAATATCAGGCAATGCAGTTTTTTTCACCTGCTTTCATTGCACAAAGAGAAATTTGTATATAGATGTATATAGTCTATTAAGTTTTGTGCCTGTGCTACATTCCCAGCTGCTTTGAAGAAATTAAGTTCTTCAAAGAAGTGCAGTTTTCCTTACAAAGCATCCACTTCAACCAAAAAAGTTGTTGTCATTTATAAGCTGGTGGTTGCTTTTGGACTAGCCATGTTTTTTCAGGAAATCTCGTTGTGAAGGTTGGGTTCTTTTTCTAGAAAAAACAGTATGTCTTATCATATCTACAATGTGTATTGTGTTCTAAAGATTCTAAAGTGCAGTATTCCTGTTTTCTTCCTTTATTTATCATGGTAACATTCCTTCAGGCAGATGCTGTTTTCCTCAAAGGTTGAATACTTAACTTAAAATTGCAATCGTATTTAAACAGTTTAGTTTAGACAAGAGAAACAATATTGTGTCAAAATATGCAGTGTATCCTCCAAAGATGTAGCATTCGCCTCAAAGAAGCTCAGCTGGCCTTTATGTTTGAAAGTAGCACCATTTCTTTAATTAAACATGTAGCACCCCTTTCCATCGAAACCCAGCTGCCATCTCTTTGGAAGGAGCATCATTTGTTTGAAGGAACGGCTTTGCTCACCAAAAAGAAAGTTGAATCAGCTGCCTCTTTTCAAAGTTACACCATGTTTTGAACATATGTAACACTCCTTTCAATGACACCATTTCTTTGGAAATATGTAACATTCATTTCAAAGAACTCCAGCTGCGCTCTACTGGGATAAGAACACAATTTATTTGAAGGAAGGGTTTCTCTTACCAAAAACATAATTTTACATCCCCAAAGGCTTCACACCTGAAAAGAAGAATTGCACATCCCCAAGGAATAATACGCATGTTTAGCATACAGAACTTTTATAAATAATGACTTGACAAGAATGCCTTGGGGGCAAGGTTAATCAGATTTGGTTCCGATTAATCTGGGTTAATTAATCTTGATTGATCTTAAGGAACCAAACACCCAAAGAAATGGTAGTATATAAATCACACACAACTGGACAGAACAATATACAATTGTTTTTTTTAACTGCAAACACAATCAAAAAAAGCTCAAGGTAGGCCCTGGTGGGGGGGTGACCATATTTATTTATATATATATATATATCATATCCCGATTTTTCTGAAGATTTCTACAGTCCCATTTGGTAAGAGCCCATTTAGGAAAGCTAAGTTTTGTAGGGCCTCCTCAAGCGCATCCAAGAGAGACACACACACACACATATTAAATAAGTATACTCAAAATAAGTAAACAAACAAAAACGAATAAAAATGCATATCCATTCACACACACACATTCCAACGATATCCCATGATATTTCCATGATATGTCATGATATGCGCATTTTTCACTCCATCGCTCCCAGGTGGGCAGTGCTGGATCTCTTCATCGTGGTGAGTTCTTGGTGGGAAGTCTTCGTAGAAGCATGGTGCCATGGGTCGAATTACCGAGACGTTTTGGGAGATTTCCAAACCGCCCAGTGTCAGTTGGATCAGTTGGGGACCAGCCAAAAAACCAACTGAAAATGCTGGGGTATCATCAACTGATATGCGTGTTGGGCTGTTTCTGACAGGGGATTCTTATCTTGGCAAGTTGAATGGGGAACATCTGATGATATATGATGGCTGATTTTTCTTGATGTTCTCATGTATTTTCCATGGTGTTTTCCCTAAACTTTCCCCACGAACTCAGTTACTGCCGCTGGAGCCGCTTGATGGATCCCTTGAGTTCATCATGGAACAGCAGGTGAAGAAGTATCAAAAATAAAGCGAAAATAGATAATGAGTGATAAATATATTGAGAGAGAGAGGATATTATATAGATATAATATGATATAATTATACAGATAGGTGAGCGGCACGCAAAAGGATCAAAAAGCTCACAAGAGGCTTCACCCATCTCAAGGGGAAGTCATGATTTCACAGCCAAGATCCGCCGCTGGAATGCGAAAGCTGCATTATCAAACATTCGTTCAAAGGGTATAACCTGTTTAGTTGCAAAGATCAGAAACATCTGAAAGCATAGTAATGTTCCCCGATCTTAGTTTCTAGATGAGTTTTTTCCTCAGTTTGTCAAAAAATTATACCTTGTTTCCGACTTGTTTCCTACTGGACCTTCAGTCATCCCCAATCATAGGTACACAAAATATCAATTCGTCTTTAATGGCTATCCTACCATTCCAGGTTGGTGAATCAGATAGAAACATCAATCCAGGTCCTACATCCATTCTTCAAACCCTTATCAATTCTTCTTTTCAGATAATCATCCCATCCCATCATCGCATCCATGATTTCTCTGATGGATTAAGGTATATTAAGGTGACAAAAAATCCATAAATCATCCCATCCCATCATCCTCATCCCAGCAAAAATCCATGATTTTCCTCCATAAAATCCCAATTTTGATCATCCCACTCTGGGTGAAATGTCTCGACAGGTATGCGGCCGCGGGGGATGACGGTAGCTTTGACTCCTTTGGAGGGCTCACGGGGTTGAAGGCGCGGAGGGGACCTCTAAATCCATGGGTGAATCGAATCGTTTTCTCTATTAAAAGATTTAAGGGCTGCCGCCCCTGCCGCCGACCCCGGAAGTAACTCGTGGTGCCAGCTAGCAAGAGAAAAAGTGAGAAATATGTAAGGCAAGGAAGCTACGGCATTGTACACGTCCTCCTAAAAGATGCAATACCATTGAGTAGAACTCTCCACACTTCCTCTTTCAAGTGCCCCAACAACAGAAAGTGTTGTGTCCTTGTAGGCAGCGAGGCATGTTTAAGACTCTCTAAGTGTCATTCTGGTCTGATTTGGACGTGTTGCGAGTGTCATCCAATGGCAATGATAAGAATCTCACCTTGCTCATTTGGTCCAGTGTACATCGATCGATTGGAACAAAATACAGCAAATCTCCGGAGAGGAATTTAGCGGCTGTTTCGGCCGTGCTTGCTGTGCAATTTCTGGTCCGAAAGTGTTTTTATTGACGCTGGCAGTGGGTCCCCCGCGCGGAAGCTCAGACTAGAAAAGTTGGTGACCGGGTAATCAAAAGATGGTAAAGTGGTAGCTTCAGTGGTAACCTTGGTAACCTCGATAAGAAGTATAAGTATGTGTACTGTATAGTGTAATATCAGATGCATCAAGACCTTTGTGCTTGCACTGCTCGATCATAGAAATTGTCTGTTTGCCTCAAAGTGGGTCTCGTTTGGCAATGATGTTGAGACAGGTTGAGAAATGTTGAGACGATGGTTTGTGGTAAGACTTGTCTTTCAAATTGCTCGTTGGCTGCGCCTCTGTGTCTTGTTGGTTCGCGGATCTCGCATGTGACAGATTGCCATTGCTTACACTTATGTGGTCACATCGTGTGCAAGCTCGTTTTGAGGTGCAGCGCAGAATGGCATGACCAACACAGATCGAACGGGCGGGTCAGACGAGGACAGCCGGAGGTATTGATTTGACAAACTTGTTGCAGAGTCAAGTTGCAACAGCCAGAGGTTCAGAGGACCTCCCTTGGAACATACATAGATAGATAGATAGATAGAGAGATAGAGAGATAGATAGAGAGATAGAGAGATAGATAGATAGATAGATAGAGAGATAGAGAGATAGAGAGAGAGATAGAGAGATAGAGAGATAGAGAGATAGATAGATAGATAGATAGGTAGGTAGATGAAAATCCCCCATTTCTCCATGATCCGACTAGAAGTCTCCATTTTGATTGGGGATTAGCCAGCCATCTGTGATTTCGTGATGCCCACTAAAAATCATTGGTATGGCTGGGAGAAGGTATCCCTGACAGTTTTTATTGTGTAATTCCGAAGGTCTTGCAGGTTAGTTCAACTCTGCCCCCTGTCGACTGTAAACCCAATCTTCCCAAAGCAGCTGTCGCCCACGTTTTTTCGCTGGGTGCAGGTATGAAGTGTAGATATTGGCCAGCTCTTGTACGAGTTGAAACCTCAGCAGTGACTAGTTGACTCTGAGTTGCTTCATGATATAACTCTGGAAGAAGAGAGAATTAAAAGACACATCCGAGTAAAATAGTGATAAGTTCCGTTTCCATCTTTTTTGCAATTTGTGTTGGCAAGTATCATAATCCAACTGCAGAGAGTGGTGAAAGTCTTGTCTTGAAGCACGATCCATGGCTGTTTAGAAAGTATAGAATTGAGAGCATCAAATGCAGATCTCATGTATAAATGTCAGCTTGTGATATCCAGCTTGAGTACAGATAGATAGATAGATAGATAGATACATAGACGTGTCTAGTGCAAGTGCATTTGGCTCTAGTGTTGTTTTCAGAGTGGCGTGGATTGTATGGCGTCCGTCGGGTATACTGTGCATTTAACGGCACCACGATGCTTGGAAAGTGGTGCAGCGCATCGTGAAGCTGCTGAGATGGTACGAGAGGTACTCAGCGCAGGGACGGACGTTGCTTGGTGGGAATAGAAGTTTAATGAAGTTTATGATGTTTGATGTTAAGGGTTAACAGTTAATGCTGGTGACAGTCCGGCTGTAAAAGAGACGTCTGTGAACGGTTTTTGTGGTGCTGAGAATCAACAGGGGGCAGGAAATTGGATCTGCTTGTAAGGAGTGCATCATCAAGATCCGTGCTCGCTCCCGGCGATTAGTCTATGTGGTTTCAGTGCAGGCGAGCACGGTCCTAGAAGAGGAATTGGGTCGCTTGGGCGAAGTCAAGAAGCTCGACAGTGAAGATCAGAAGGAACAGGTTGCTTGACAGACAGTAGCAAGGGTAGAACAATTTTGTGAGGTGGTTTCAAGTAGTTTTCAGTGTGTTTGGATTTTGACAGGTTAGAACAATTACTTTGTGCTAGGTGGCTCACGACGCAGAGTTCAAGAAGGCAAAGGAAGGACAGATGTCGAAGGCTGCGAAGATGACAGAAGCACATGGCCAGATGCTGAATACGCTATTGCAGATGCGGGGCAGTGGTGTCTTGTTTGCATCAAGAAAGGTTTTTGAGAGTGAGTTTTGCCTTGGCGATTACAGTTTGCATTTCTAGTGATGTGCTTTTGTCGGGAAAGTAGACACCAGATTCGATTGCAGGCGGTAATGCGCAGAAAAAGCGGCAGTTCGCGGACCGCGTCGTCGCGGCCATCGACCGAGCCGGTGCGCTGGTAGCGTCCGGCCTTCGGGTCCGTGGGGTGGAGGTGGATTAAAGTTGAGACGTGAGGTGCTCCGAAGTGCCTTTGAGTGGGTTAGAAGAAACAGCAATGGCTAAAGGTTCGGTTGGGACCTTTGACAGACAGCGTCCCTTGGGAGATTCCGCGGTTGTACAGGCTGTCTCTTTTGGACCAGATCAAAAGATCCATGTCATCTTTGGACAGGTTGTGTCTGCCGATTTCATCGAATGTTCTTTGTACAGAATTACAGGTCCTCCCGCGCCATCCTGTGCCAGGGCCAAGATCATCCTAGGTCGTAGGCTTGTGAGTCGTTTCATGTCGTTGAAATTGAAGGCTATAGCCCTATAGCCTGACAAACGTATCATGCAACAAATCTGAATAATTCAAATTTTCAGCTGGTGGTTGATCCTCCCTGGTAATGACTCAGTTGCCTCTCTTTGAAACCTTTGCAGCTCGATCAGTTGAAGGATCAGCAGCTTCGATGTCCTTGGATTTGCCCCAGGGTCCACCAACAATTAAAACACAATATATATATATATGTATTCTCCATTTATAGTTAGATTGATATTTTGTGGATTTCCCATTGGATAAAACATATAAGCTGAAGACCTGCCGATGCAAATCCCAGTGGAAAAGATCATCACGTGTTGTGCATCATTGACGAAGTTTGTGCTGGCTTCTGTCTTGAGATCTGGGTAGGAAGCGAGATTTTTAATACAGTGGAAAGCAGCATACAACTGAAATGGAAAGTGAGATTTTGCATGGAAGCTCTGTGACAAGGCAGAGTCCCCTGTGAGATTACATGGTTGCACAGTAGACATGAGATTACCACATTTTAGAGTAGAGGTAGGAATCGAGATGGTGGAAGCTCTGCGACCTCATAGTGTGTTCTGTGAAACTACCTCATTGTACAGCAGAGGTGGGATCGAGATGCAGACTTTTCGAACAAAGGTGTGATATTTGAACGGCAACTTCTTGTCTGAACTTATTTGGTAGGTGCCACTTGAGTCGAGGGTTCCACCCAATGACAGGAGGTGTTTTGACGAACCATCAATGGGAAGAGTAATATTTCATTGGAGCAGTTGGCACATCGTTTAGTACAGGTGTCTAGGTTGCTATTGCTTTCCCAACATTATCTGGGATCTGGTATACGAAATGAAACATGAGTACGGTTTGAGTATGAGAGGGTATATCACTAGTGTGCGTACTTCGAAAAGTGGGGCAACGACTAGTGGCAGCCAAAAGTACCATGAACCATCATTAGATCAATACGAATGACCACGAAGTACGAAATCGATCTGTTTGGCTGTTGACATCACTCACATTGCATGGAAACAATGACTTCTAGGGTATATTTGATTCTTGACGAAGTACTCATGGGTATTTAATCGGATTGGGGGATGGGTCAAAGTTGGGAATTACCAGATATTTTCACTAGATTTATAGATGTTTCGCATCGTAAGCCCAAGTGTTCTTCATAATTTATGGGTGTTCTCCAGCTGGCGCCGAGGCCTCGCAGTTTTTTGTCGTACCTTCGTCTTGGTCGCGCAGGCTGACAAGTGAGGTCACCTGAAGATTCCACTCCCTTGTTGAATGCGAATGGATTTACCAGCTCCCGACTGATATCACGCTAATTTCTATTTGGATAATTGTCCACATCCTCATAAATTTCTTGTGGCAGCTGGTTGGTCAAAAATGAGGGTTTATAATGTCAGTGTTTTTCCAAAGGAACAAGATTTTGAGAAACGAAACCTCCAAATCAAAAATTGCCAGCCCAAATGCAGTAGTCATACGTCCGTATGGTTATGAATCCAATGTCACCCTTCTGTTCACATCACAAGAAAAAGTGACTGTAGCTGGACGTTTATCCCAAAAATATGGATCGCCTAGTGATCACGACAGTTGCGGTTCGACTTTCGGTGGTTTGCGCGATGGTTATGTTAATGAAGTGTCAATTGGGGATTGTTTCAGGGCCTCAAGTTACATCATGAAAATGTAGACAGAACAGAGAACATGGTCATAGAAAGTCTGGGTATGTTTGGGTCACCAGACTTTCTGCATCGAGTTGAGTGATTTTCTGACTGCTTCAGTGGTGTCTACTCCACAGCAGAACCATTACAGATCCTCGTCTCGAAATCCAGGATACGACGCCTAACAGACCCAGATTCGAACCTGTTAGATATCCTAACGTGACCTCCACTTCCTCATTTGGGCAGCTCGTTGCTCTTTTTGTCGGTCTGGAACGATGCTAGGAATTCCAAACACTCTCTAGAAAGTGTTGAGGATGGATTTACGCTCATGTAGCGTCCAGTTTGCGCGTTAGTTAGTCTCTGTTCAGGCACTTCCAGTGGGTTGTGAGTCTGCTGGATAGGACATTAGGCTATGTATATATAAATATGTATGTATATACACCTACATACATACAGACATACATACATACATACATACAGACATATATACATACATACATACAGACATACAGAAGGACATACATACATACATACATACGTACAGACATACATACGTACATACGTACATACGTACATACGTACATACGTGCATACGTACATACGTACATGCATGCATACATACGTACATACATACCCACATACATACATACATACATACATACATACATACAGACAGACAGACAGACAGACCGACCGACCGACCGACCGACCGACCACCGACCGACCGACCGACCGACCGACGGACGTACGTACGTACGTACGTACGTACGTACGTATGTACGTGCATGCATACATACATACATACATACATACATACGTACATACATACCCACATACATACATACATACATGCATACACACATACATACATACATATATACATACATACATACATACAGACAGAGAGACAGACAGACAGACAGACAGACATACATACATATATACATACATACAGACAGACAGACAGACATGCATACATACATACATACATACATACATACATACATACATACGTACAGGAGTAGCCCCACTTTAGAAAACTTCGTTCGTAGCGTCAAAGATACAGTCAGCATCCCAGTGGGGGATGACTGGAGTAGGTGGTCACTTGGCCACCAACATTGACGTACCTCCCCTAGGTGACGTCGCACTTGTAGCGCAGCGCTGTTCAGATTGGAAGGCGCGGTGGGCGATCATGGCCACGAAAAACAGTAAAACTACATGCAGTCGGGATGCATTGCGGTATAAGTGACGGATTTTGGAATACTGTGTAAGCCAGTCATTTGGTAGCTGATGAAAGGAAAAACAAATGTCTCAATCTTTGCTCAGCGAGTCAAATTGCTGTCATTGATTGGCGTTCGAACTGTGCTTGCAGTTTCGGCTAGGGTTGGAACTGACTGGTGAGCAACAGTAGTAGCGATGAAGCGCACAATCGAAGATGATGATGCTAGAGATCATGTTAGCACGGAGTTGCCGGAGAGCTCGATGTTAGGTGACGTATCTCCTGGAGCTTCAGCTAGTCCAGCAGGTTCTGGGGTCCCCATGACATTTCGGTGTCGACGGAAGACATCGTCGAGTCGACGGGCAGTAGCGATGTGTCCTGTGGAGTGTGGCATTTACTTATATACCAGTGATGGATCCTACATCAATGAATGGTTTGAGCCGTCGTTGCCTGGATATGCAATTTCGGTACGGCAGCAAGGGAGTCGTGTGGCTTGGCAAAAGAGATGGCAGTTTGAAGGCACGCAAGTTTGTTTGTAAAGTCAATTCTAGACTACTAAACCACGGTCAGAATCCAAGACTGAAATGGTACTCTCTGAAGGAAACAGTCTAGAGATATATTATTCCCAGTTGATACTAATGTGATTTGAAGGCATCGCGGTGTCATGCTAGCTTGTGCAAAGATGTGGTATAGATGTTTCTCTATGTCTGTCTTATGGTTTGAGCGAGGACATGCATTCGATTGAGTTCAAGACGATGGAGTTGGTGGGACGATTCTTGAAGGCATTGCCGACAGCGCGTGACGACGAACCAGTGCCACGAGTTGTTGGGCAATTGGTGTGCGCCTGAGTCATCGGCGCGAGAGTGCACAATGTAATGTTTTTTAGTCTAGTTGTCGAAAGAATGTAGTTGTGTTGACTAGCATTCGACAAAAGAAAGTAGCAATTTGTTCATGTAGTGTGATTGTTGGGAAGTGTGTTAAAAGCCCACTGTGAGGCTGAGCTCGCTCAATTGCAATGGGCTCGTGGCAAGGGTCCGACTTGGCCATTGACCTTGTTTGCAGGAGGAGAAGATGCCGTGACAGAAGGACTTCGTCACATTGAAGCTGTGTCGACATTCTTGCGAGGAGATAGTTCGCAGGTGAGCTTGGTGATCACGCCTTTCATAGATGTAAATCTTGACTGTTACAAGAACAGTGCTGGATGTCCTGTTGTGATCCGGGACCGACAAGTGGGTGGATCACTGGTAGATCTAGCACCTCCATGTGGTGGGGAGCATTTGTGTGTGTCAGTGCACATGTTGCCAGGCTTACAGCAGGAGTTTGTGATGAGTGTGAAAGGAGCAACATGGCCCATTCGGCATGAGCTCGCGGCTCTCGGATGTCCTCGAGAAGAACAACAAGATGGAAGTTGGCAACATCGGACTCCAGCTTTGAATATGACAGACCGTCGTGTGTCAACTTTGGTGGAGTTTCTGAAGCGGACATTCTTCGTGGTCATGTTCGCGGACTCAGTTCCCACATCGATCCGAGCCATATTCCAAGGGATTTAAGGAGTGAGGTTGTTCGCTTCTATGGTATGGAGGAGAGTGATTGCAGTCGCGATGTGAGGTGCTCCGAAGTGCCTTTGAGTGGTTTCGCTAGGGACTAGAACTTTGAATGCTGGGCCAGAAGGAACAGCAAAAACGAAAGGTTTTCTTGGGATCCTTGCAAGACAGTGTCCCTTGGGAGATTGCGTGGTTGTACAGCAGACATAGGAAGCGAGATTTTCAAGACAGTGAGAAGCATCATATAATAGCAATTAGAACTGAGATTTTGCATGACAGTGGTTCTGTGACAAGGCAGAGTTCCCTGTGAGATTATATCGTTGTACAGCAGACATGGGATTACCTCATCGTACAGTAGAGGTAGGTATCGAGATTGCGGAAGCTCTGTGATGCCCGGGAATGCCAAAAAAGGCTATGGGATGTTACACAAGAAAACCGAACGCACAAGGGTGCTACCCCGTTAACATATACGAGGTAGTGCAGAGCTTTTTTGGATGACTTCTGGCACAGTGTTCTCTACGAGACTACCTCACTGTGCAGCAGAGGTAGGCATCGTGTGATCGTTAAGACAGACCTTTGCAGCAGTGGAAACGGGTTGTGTGGGACTTGTCTTGTCATAGCGTCGCCTAGTGGCCACAATCGCAATGCAGTTGAAAATTCCGACATTTCCAGCAAATATGCCTCGTTTGCTATTCGAATGATAATGCATTTTCCAAATCGAGTATTTGGCAGGCATGATTTCGTCACCTGGAGCTCTCGGTCGTCTGGGATTCCCAGGGGTGGTAAGAAGCGTTATGTAGGGACCCAATGATATAAAGTGTTTTTACTAATCATCAATGGGAAGTATGGCAGCAACATTTCATGGGTCAATATCCTGATGATGTTACATACTCTATGGTTGACAAGGTTAAGTCCTTTTCAACGATGGTTTTCAGCTTTCGTTGTGTAGCGTGGTGATCCAAATGATCTTGATAATTATCAACTATTGTTGTTAAGTGACATTAATACTAATGTATAGTAAGTAATGTATACGAATCATGAATGTTTTTTTAATCAATGTCGTTACTAATGTATATTAATGCATATTAATGTTTTATTAATGTTGTGTTCATGGAACTTGTAACTACTAGGTCAAGGAGGGTGACTGAAACGTATGCAGTTGAGCAATTTGCAAGCCACCAAGCTTCAGGTTGAATTCCAAGAAGGCGGCGGGCGTGACACCTGCGCGTGTGCAGGAGCTTGAGGAGCGAAACTTGCGTGAAGTGTGGCTAATCCTTCATCTAATATCACAGTAATATCCTAAATTAGATTTGATCCTTCCAATTAGAATCAGTTAATCCTCTATTTAGATCAGTGAATCTATCAGAAGTTCTCTACTTTTACATGGGCAAAATCCCCCAGACCGAGATGCAAGAACTGCATCTGTTGGATGTTTCTGCCAAGGTGGGAGCTTCGAGGTGATTTGTGAGCCAAAAATGGTGATTTAACGATACAAAATGGCGATCTGACTATAAACAATGGTGATTTCACAAGCTAAAATGATGGTAGAATGAGGGGGGTCATCAATCCTCTTCCAAGTAGGAGGGGCTATAACAGCATATAACGGCTATAATGCAATAGTCTATCAACTAACCAGGACCTCCCTGGATATTTTTGCCTTGTCACGTTGATTTCATACCTGAAGCCCTACAGTGCAGACTCCCCTGCGTCGTCTATTCAGTCTCTTCTGGCTGCCAGGATTTTGTGTATTTGCGGAAATGGTGTGATAACCCAGTTCCAAATGGTCGCCTTTGAGAATGGACATTCAAACTTTTAGAGTCAATATGGAGCAACACCCATTTTGGGTGATTTATACAGTTAATAATGTTAATAGATGCTTTTACAATCAAATATGAAGATAGGCAATTCTGCAGATTACGCCTTTCGCATCACTCAGCTTGAAGGGAAGACTTGAAGACATCCTTGATCCATCTGGATCCATCATGTACCAATCCAATATATCCAATAGATCTAATATATCCAATATATCCAATATATCCAATAATATCTGGCCTATCCGGTATATATGCTGGGGTTCGAAAACGGACCACACCACCCAGGTGCGAAGAACTGGTGCGTTTGGCTGAGAGCCTGCAGACATCATCCTGTGAGGAGACAGTTGAAGAGCCGAGTTAAGTGAGTTGAGCTGGTTTCAATCTCTATATATATATATATTCATTTTATACATATATATTCAGATTGTATTCATATCTACATTAATATACATATTGTAAACAAATTCTGTATTTGTATATAATATACTGTAACAATATATATATATGTATATGTATATATGTATATATGTATATATGTATATATGTATATATGTATATATGTATATATGTATATATGTATATATGTATATATGTATATGTATGTGATCAGGTTTTTTAATTGGTGTTTACGATCCTTCCAGCGTTCAGCCAGGAGGTGGTGGCAGCATGACAGCGCCGTGTTTTTCGAGAAGTCGTGGTGTTCTCAAAAATGAGGACCTGAAGACATTGGACAGTTGTGACATGTTAGAATTCAACTTTATCCTGAAGGGTGGTTCGGATGCGTTTGAGATGCGATTTGATCATGAAGGACAGGAAGATGGTTTAAAGACCGAAAACTGGAAAAAGTACTATCACCACAAATGAAAAAACATGAATAATTCTTGGCAGACCTGCATGTGCATGGTAGCGCGAACGTGTGCGTGGCCTTGTTGCCATGCTGCACTTTGCAGTAGGGCAATGGTCAGTCGGTCAAGCTTTGCTTTGAAAAAACATCCTCTGAGTATTCAAATCTCAAATATGTGGTTTGCGAACTGCGTTAGCCATACTCGTAAATCCATATGGGGGTTTCCTGAAATGGGGGTATCCCTAAATCATCCATTTATAGATGAATTTCATTGAAATTCATTGAGTTTCCATGAAATTACATACATTATATACATACATACATTACATACATTACATACATGACATACATGACATACATGAGATACATACATACATTACATACATTACATACACTACATACATACATACATACATACATACATACATAGATAGATAGATAGATAGAAAGATAGATAGATAGATAGATACATACATACAGACATGCATGTGTGATATCATATACATACATATGCAGATACATACACATCCATATACATATACATAATATATGGGCTTAGATATTATTTCCCTTTCTAGAACTTCTAGCCATGATCAGGACGATCCCAGTGGAGCCTTGGAGCCTGCTTCCCAGGGTTGTATGGTATGATGATTATATCTAGTGTGTCTTTGTTTGGTGATGATTGATGATTATGAATCTAATGTATAATCTAATGTGGTTGTATGGAGTATGGTGATGATTCAACACATTTAACATAGCTATTAAATTTTAGCCCATTTGTAGATGATCAAAATCGTGAAGCAGATATTTTTCACCATGTTTGATTATAGTATATATATATATTTACCTGGTACTGAGCAGTTGCAAAACATGATTTTCCAGTTCGCAAAAGCGTTCAACGCAGCCGCCGAGGTGCGCCAATGAGGTGCTGGAGGCCATCCGCAGTGGCAGCCCGGACAAGGTTCGACCCTGTTACAGCACCATTTGTTTTTGCGGATGCTAACAACATAGCTATTGAAAATGGTCCTAATTTATACTTGAGCTACCTATTAAAGATAGTGATTTTCCAGCTTGCAAACTGTTAAATTGCCAGAGGGTAACGGAAGTATTCCTAATATTTCTATCGTTTCCAGATTTTGATAGATTTTTAGCATTTTCATCCCAAGGACAGCGCCATTTTTTCCCAAAGTTTTTCATATGTTGCCAGATTGTTCGAACGACAATGATTGTTTGTTTCCATTCATCCCTAGTTTTCCCAACTTTTTCATATGTTTCCACAATTTTCGATCAACAATCATTGTTTGTTTCCCATAGTTCTCCTTACATTTTTCTCAACTTTATCCAAATTCTTTCCCCCGAATTCTTGCCCATAATTTTCCACCATATCTTTCCCCACACTCCTCAGATTTTCCCTTATCTTTCAGGATTTTGCTCAAGATCTTCCCCTCCGGTGTCGACCCAGGCCGCGGAAATTTCTGCCTTATGCGCCTGCGTCGATGCCTACGTGGCGCTGGGAGACGTGGGGGCGCCTCAACGAGTCGGAAAACCATGGGAAAACTCTGGAAAAAAACATGGGAAATGGGGATGTTTCAGCGAAAATCAGCGAGTTGATGTTTGAGTTGTTCAACAAAGACCATGGTTTCCTGGTTTGGGTTGTCCCGGTTTCGGCGCAAAGTGAGGCGACCAAAGCTTTGGCCACGGCGGAGGAGGTAGACCGGGGGACCACGTGGACGGAGGGTGATCTGAGGTTCCAGAAAGATCATCAAAGATCATACCAGAAACCATGGTCTTTGTTGATCATTTTACCATTTTTTAATTAGTCAATGGGGAAAATACTAGAATTGGTTTTTAGTAAATTGGAAAGATCATGGGGGAATCATGGGTGTGCGTCTGAAAATTGGGGATGCAGCCAATTTATATAATTTTACCATCTTTTTTGAGGTTGGATATCTTCAGTGTTTTTCCCAGCCATCCCTAAACTCAGTGAAATTGCGGTTGGAGAGTCATAGGGCGACTGAAGGCATTCCCAGAAGTGTGAAATCCACAAGCTGGTTCCTATATTAATGCATGGTAAGGAAAAGCTGGTTGGTTTCTAGAATGTTTCTTACATTGAACCCATATCATGTTCGGTGATTCAACCCCTAGTTTGTTGTTTTTCTCAGTACCCCCATTGGATTCTGCTTCCTGACCCTGTCCAGGCTTCCAGTTTGGCTAAATCCTTGACAACTTCCTTCGCGGAGGCCACTGATGTGTCATCTCGAAGTAGGCTTGAAATCGGTAATTTCGAAGATTTATCCCAAAATGAAGTGACAATGTTGCGAGTCAAAGTTGAGGGGATCTTGGGGCTT